GCACACAAAAGCACTCCCTTTTCAGCCTGCAAAGCACTTAGCACAGGTGAGCCAATGGGCTGACTCATGTGCTTAAGTGCCTTGGTGGATCAAGGCCCTATTTTGTAGCATGGGATGTTGTAAGTTCTTTGAGGTACGGGCTGTGAATTCTCCTATGTTTGGAAAGCACCCAGGCACGTCTGAGTGTCCCCACCATGTATCATTATAATAGTCTGCAGCAGGACGTCAACATTCCAGAGAGTGAGAACCCTGCCGTGCTGGGGCCGTACGTACACATGCAAACACATCCACCTCCACTAGCTCTGACACGCTAAGTACTATTCAGACTAGGGAGGGTCACAAATCTTACATCCAGACTGTTCTGGACAGTGAACTGGGGCTTTGACTGGATGACAGTGCTTGTGGAAGTGGCTACTTTCCTCTGAAATTTAACATATTTGTCAGAAACCCCAAACCCGTTTTTTTTTTATCAAAAGTCAGTATTTTCAGCTGAAGGTTATGACAAAAATTGTTTGTTTTTCTCAAAAGTTTGCTGGGGGGGGAGGACCATGTGCTGTCCATTGTAATTAATAATTGTGTAAATAATACTAATAAAGTTTCCTACCAAAATCCATAGGAATTACAGATGCTTGGAGGGAGGGGTGGAAGAGGGTGTACGTGACTTAACATAGTGACTGGAGATAAGACACAGGTGGGTCAGGGTCCTCTAATGAGACTAATTAAGGACAGCAGCTGAGAGCCTGTCATGCAGATCTCTTACTGATTCCAACAATAAACTGGAGAAAGGACTGCTGTGTTTTAAGGCACAGATCTGAGACTAGGGGGACTGGGTCCTATTCCTGGGTCCCAGACTCCCTGGACAAGTCATTTAACCTCAGTTTCCTCATCTTTAGAATGGGGGACATGATATTGGTCTACTTCACAGCGGGGAGGGGTTGTGGGGCTAAATTCATCAATGCTTGTAAAATGCTTTGAGATCCTTGGACGGAAAGCATTGTAAAAGTACAGGACAGTTACCAACACTTTATGTATAAGGCACTTGTAGCTGTCACCTTAGAAAAATAATGAAATGAAAAAGCAACAATATTGAGAAAATCTTAGTGATGCACTGAAAACTCAGGAGATGCCCAAGTTAAAGTTGCATGCCTAACCTTAACTCTGCCCCTTTGTAGGTATTCATTATTACAATACAGTCTTAAATGACATGAGCACATACTGTTTCTCAAAGAATACAATATAATAACATGACATTTTTTGTAAACTTATCTATTACATATGTAGCATTCTATTGTATTGTGCACAACTCTTTGTGTGCCACACAGTCCATGAGCTCCATTTGTGGGGGAAGTATACACTAAACCAGTGCACCACATACTATAAATGAAGAGTGATAAAGTAATAGCTAAAAGATGCTGAAATGAACTGGGTTAAATTACAATGTTGGCTGTCACTTGATCTTTCTGTGCCTTAGTTCCCCATCTATAAAATGGAGATAATCCCTTCTGTCCCCTACCCTTGGTCTGTCTTGTCTGTAAGCTCTCCAGGGCTGGAACTGTCTCTCACCATGTGTGTATAGACAGTGTCCAGCACAATGAATTTTCATAACATTGCATTACTGTAATACAAATAGTAATAATAATAGCTCCTTCAGTGACTACATGTAACATGTCTTATTGCAAATTCACCTATGACATCATACCATGAAATATTTTGCACCTGGAATCACACACTTGCAGCTCTGCATTAAAGCTGGGATTACAATCAAATCATATTAATGCTTCAGGCCTTCAACCAATCAGCAGCAGGGGGTCAGGAAGGAATATTCTTCCTCAATGAACAACTGGTGATGTATTCTGGGTTTCTTTCTGGTGGTTCTCCCCTCTCCCTGCACCCTCAACCTTGGCCACAGCTGGAGACAGGACTCAGGACACGGTGCACCAGTGCTTTGAAGTGGTACAGAGAATCCTTTTTCTCTGATGCTTGGTTGGCGTGTCCCACTCATATGCTCAGGGTTATACTGGTCACCAGATTTGGGGTCAGGAAGGAATTTCCCTCTTGGCCAGATTGTGGAAGGGTTTTCTTGATTGTCCCCCTTCTCCCCCCCCCCGGTCTTTCTTGGCAGTATCTGCTCATGTCTCACCTAATCAATTCCCTGCCATGGCACAGGCCTCGGGCATTGGTGGCACCATGATCCCTCCTGTTCTCTGCCTGTGGCACTCAACACTTAATCTCCTGGAGACTAAAATGCTTTAGTCTAACTAAAGTCATTGGCTCAACATAAAATGTTGAGTAAAATGTAATGTCCTGTGATATATAGGAGGTCAGACGAAATGATCTAGTGGCTTCTTCTGGCCTTAAATTCTATGAAACTATAAAAGTTTCTGGGGGGAAGAATCAGTTTGAATGTACTTGTAATTGGGTTGTGTAGAAATCTATTTATAACTTTCAGATAAGTTACAAATAAATAGAACTTTTCTCTACAGAAATTTTCATTCAGTATATAATCCAGGCAGTAATATTTGAAAGGAAGTACAACCAATACCTGGAGAAAATAATATTTGAAATTTAAGACAGTTTGACTTGAGATCATGTGAAAAATATAAATTATTTACATGTCTACATGAAAGTATCAAATAATAAATCATTAAAACATATTCTGTTAACTCTCTATATGTATTTCTCTGCGATATCGTTTGTGTGATACAATAATAAATTACTTTTCTGAGGTGTATCAGTATGTGGAATTCAAAATAATCTGGTCAAAAGTCTATAGTATGTAGGTTCAGAGAAAATTATTAAAACATATCCTGTAGAGAGAAGAGAATTTAGAATATAGAGTCTGTCAGTAAAGATACACTATATCTTTATGATGTTGGAATTAAATATACCTCAGAGAAATATACAAAATCAGTTTGATGAAAAATTTTGAAATGTCAAAGTTGGTTTCAAAGGGTATGAACTTGAACCATTTTTTGTTTATTTTTTAAATGGTGATACTTTACTCAATACTTTATTTTCAATTTTTTAATTAAGAAAGTTTTAAGGAAAATTTTCATTGACTGAATATGGGATTTTTTTCAGTAAACCAACACTTTCAGTATATTTCTGATAAATACATGTGTGAGAGGGTGGAAATGTACAGAAAAGACATGGCATTTTTCATGAAAAATGAAATGTTTTGGCAATTTGTCATGAAAAATTTCATTTCCAAAGAAAGGTCATTTTTCAGTGGAAAAAAAATGATGTTTTTTACCAGCTCTAGAATTAAGCAGACAAGAATGAAAAACCGGAAGATTCTTACACACGTGTATTTGATGTTGTGAAAGAAATAGTATATTTATTGTATTTGATGCATGGTATGTGACTATGCAACTAAAGATGTAATGTGTAAACTCAAAGAGGCAGAGTTAAGGTTAAACATTCAACTTTAGCTTTGGCATTTCCTGACTTTTGGGAGGCGAAATGTTTGGTCGACAGCCTCCACTGTGGCTGATACACCAGACACTGAACTGAGAAACCTCTTGAGCTAAAAGCATGAGCTACTACAGCCTTAGGCCTTGTCTACACTACGTGGAAAATTCGATCTAAGCTACACAATTTGAGTTACGTGAATAGTGTAACTCAAATTGACATAGCTTAGACTTACTTACTGCGGGGTCCATGCTACGCAATGTCAATGGGAGACACTCTCCCGTCGACTCCCCCTACTCTTCTCAATCTGGTGGAGTACACGAGTGGATGGGAGAGCGATCTGCGGTCAATTTAGCAGGTCTTCACTAGACCCGCTAAATCGACCACCGATGCATCCATCGCCACTCGTAAAACCTTAGCTAAAGAGCCATGGTTAGGGATTATTACAACTCCTATCCTTCAAAAAGAAAGGAAAACAAGGACAAACTCAAAAGAAGGAGCTATGGGGTAGTGATGTCTGGTTGGAAAAAATGCAAATAAGGGCTAGATTTTTGACATTTAGGTGCAGCCTAAGATTCAGATCCAGTAAGGTATTAAGTATATGTATAACTTTAACTTACATAAGAGGTGAAGTACCTTCCTGAATAGGGGCTTATAAAAGGGGGTGGGGAAGGGCTGGCAGACATTCTGCATGCTTTCTATGATTACTTTGAGACGAGGATATTAATACATCTCTCTGTCATGTGTGTCTGGTCATTAGACTAGCCTCTCCTGCAGGTGTGATTCATTGTTTAGTTGATACATATGATCTTTGCTGAATACACTGTACAAAGCCAACTCTGGGATTTAGCTACACACTCAACTCCCATGCATTTCAATGAGAGTTGTGTGGCTACTTGGCTTTGGAAGTCTGCGCCTGTAGGTATAGATTACTTTGAATGATTGTGTTACAGAAATATACATGTGTGCTGCATGCTGGGTTTGCATTCTGTTAATGTGCACAGGTGCTGTAGGTTTGTCACCCCCTCTCCTAGGTTACATAGCGTATCCGTGTTTTGGTTGTGTTATAAGGTGTATAGATCCAGTGTGGTTGCATGCTCATTCTGTTTGTGCAGCTGTGTTATTGCGCATACAGCTATGGCGTGCGAGTTGCACACTTGGTGGATTTCACAGACCTTGCCAGGCAGCTTATGCATGCAGTTGTGTTACAGTGTGTGCAGTTACGGTAGGTTTGTTGCCCAATCAGTGGGTTTTATAGACTCTGTGTGTGCGCCTTCCTGAGCACAGCTCTGAGACTACAGCCAGCCGCTGAACTCCAGTGGTAACAAACAGCCCCATTAATGCAGTGTCACAGATTTCATTAGGGCGTCAGACCCAACCAACATGGCCATAAATCAGGGAGATTGTACAAGGGCTTGCGGGCCCTGGTTTCAAGGGCCACGTAGCCAGAGACTCATAATGCTCAGGAGGAAATGATCATGAATATTATTTAAAAAATCAGAAATGTATATTAGAAAACCTCTGAGCTTATCAGATGGAGTGAGGTTGGGTAATAGCTGTTATTTATACTGCTTGTGCAGAGTGATAAAGTGGTGGTTTATGACCTGTGGTTTATCACTTAGAATAAGAGTCATGTGACTCCATTAAAGGTTCCTTCTGTAGAAATGAAAAAGGGTAAATTAATGTGGTTTTTTTATTGTTAAATATTTGCACTCTCCTAAACCCAGCTTTTATTTTCCCTGCTTAAGAAGTATCAGATAAGCACAAATAAGTTTAAACGTTGATTGATGTGGAGGTGGGGAGAGAACTCCCTTTATGTTAAAGGCTTCAGAATGTTTCAGCCTCCCACAAACTAATGTCTGTCAGCCGGGCTAGGCCCAGAGAGTAGGAAACCCACTCAGCAGAGTTACACCAGCAAGTCAGACTCCTCCTTGTCCCCAGCTGATCATCTACTTGACAGACTATTTGTATCTGCCAGCAGCATCAAGTCTCTTGGCTGTTGTGGAGAAAGGGATTCAAAGAGAACGGCCTTGGAAGGAACTTTGCAAGATCTGGTCCAGCTTAGGAGATACAAAGCTCTGACTGGCACCAAAGGCAGTCCAGCAGGAGATGCTGCTCTGGGCAAGGTTTGCATAATAGCCGTAAGGGGATGTGCGGATTGAGAGACAGAAAAGAGATGCACAGTGAGTGTTCTGGGAACCCACACAGAGATAGCTCCATGGGGCAGAGGGGTCGTGGCAAGGCTGCTCTTGGGAACTTGGGCACTTGCAGAGATGGTTCACTGGGGATGAGAAGCATGGCAGTGTGGTGGGATTATGGATGTGCACTGAGGCATCTCCCAGTGCAAGAGGAGCCAGAGAGTCTGCGATCACCTGCAGGGGGAAGGAATCGTAAAGTGCTGGTGGCTATTACTACCATTACGCTGTTAAGCAATGACCATGTGTCTGGCACTGAACCAGACACAGTCCCTATCCCAGTCTGGGGAAGGAGTAATGCAGAGGAGAGGAGGGCTTGTTTGAATGTTGGGTTTAGCTCAGGTCTCCAGAGCCTCCTGGGTAGAGCTGGTCGGGGTTTTTTGACTGGATAGATAGTGAACAGGCTGGTTCTGCCCACTCTTGTGACTTGAAAAAACACAGGGAAACCACATTTTGAAACATTTTGACATTTTTGAAACACAAAATGCTGGTTTTCCATTCACGATGACTAGTGCTGCAGGTTTGTCACGGTGCAGAAAATGTCCCAGATTTCAGGATTTTCTGTTTGTTCAGGACTTATCTCTCCGTCCGTGATTTTAATAAGCTCCTGTCCTGGGGGGCTGGGCCTGGTCCCCCGCTCCAAGCGTTGTCCAACTGGGACATCACCTGGCACAGGGAGTTGCAGTGCTATTCACTCAAATTTGGCCCGGCCATCCCCCTGTCTTAAAGGGGTGGCCGGGCCAAATCTGAGCAGCCCCGCAACCCTCTGTGCCAGGTGGTTGCAATGCCTGGAGTGGGGAGCCGGGCCCAGCCCCACAGGACAGTCGCTGCTGGGTGAGTGTGAGCTGAGCTTGTCTCTTCTCCCCTCCTCTCTCTGAGATGATGATGACTCACTTGCTCAGTATTTTTTATCCAAAATCACAAAACCGGTGCCTTTTACTAAATTTACCATGACTGCTCTGTGATTTCTGGTAAAAATGCTACAAGAAATTCACAGCCCTCACCAGGTCTTTTCATTTAGGAATTGAAGCTAATTCTAGTTTTAAAAAAATGGTGCAAATCAACTTGAACATCTTGAAATGATCTAAACAAAATGTTTCGACTGGCCCAAACCAAAGTTGGCTGGGGGCATGATTTTTGATTTGCAAAAATTTTTGAGAGTTGGACTTTTTGTCCCGATTTGCGACTGGAGAATTGTTTAATATCTTGAAATGTTTTGCTGGCTAGAAGCCCATGTCCTGCCCAGCCCGAGTCATAGTCAAAGCCTAGGGAGGAAAGTGGGTTGGGGATTCTCGGGACACGGAGAGCCTATGGGTGGTTACAGGAGGGGGCATCACAGGGTGACAGAGTGGACACCCCCTTTCCTCACCCCTGGGTGACTCACTTGTGGTTGGGTAGCTCTGCTCCCCTACAGGGCATGCACGGTGCTTCAGGGTTGCTGCCTTGCCCTGGAGGGCACATCACAACTGGGGGGACAGGGAGGCTGACCACTGGTCTAGGAGGCTCAATGGAGTTGGTGAACTGGCAGCTCCTGGAGGCACCATCATAGCCCAACCCTGCAGAGAGATCAGAGCACACACTCCACAACTGATCACCAGGTTCCTGCCCTCTTACACCTGACGCTTGCCAGGACCCACCCTCCCCACAGGGTAGCCGCGGTGAGAGCAAGTGAAGGGGGCCCATTGTCCGAGGGAGTTGTGAGAGTTAATAATGCTTAGGCTCTAGTCCCTGCTCTTCAGCCAGATGTCACTTCCCCTCTCTGTAAAATGGGAATAACAATACTGAGCTCCTTTGTAAAGCGCTTGGAGATGTATGGCTGAGAGGTGAGAGCTGATTAGCCAGAGAACACCGCGGCCTAAAGTGCTAGCGGAAAGCTGGGGATTATTAACTAGAGAACACCCTGGGCTAAAGAAAAGGGAAGAAAAATTGCCATTCCCAGTTTCCCCCCCAAGATTTGAAGTGTCTCGATTTTGAAATGCAAAATGTTGTTGAAAGCTCTAAATTGGAAACAAATATGCTCTAGAGTCAGTTTGAAAAATGGGGACAGCAGCCTTCGGTATTAACAGCACCCGGAGGTCCCCGTTGAGAGCAGGGCTCCATTGGGTGAGGTGCTGCACAGACAGTGAGAGAAGTCCCTGCCCCCAAGAGCTCACAGTTTTAACAGGGGAAGGGACTGTCCCAGGTCACCCAGCAGGCCAGTAGCAGAGCAGGGAGTATCCTTACCTCTCCTGAGCCTAGGCCAGTGCTTGAGCCCAGGCTCCCTGGGTTGCCACCCAAAACCAGAATGTATCAAAGGGTAACGCGGGAGGCCCAGGGGTGGGGACAGGGACCAGGTCCTGCGCTCAGGTGGGTGGGAGGCACAGGAGGGGAGGTTGCAGAACCCACCCCCCAGTGGCAGCTCCTGCAGCTCTGATTCTGCTGGGCTCAGCTCCCCATCCCGCATTCACCCCAGAAGTCACGAGGCCTGGAGCAGGGAGCTGAACCCAGCCAGCCTCGCAGGACAGGAGCTGTGCTATGGTATGCACAGTGTGCTTGTTACGGTAATGTGTATATTGTATATAGTGGGTAAGAAATACAGAGCAAGCCAGATGTTTTTTTGCACTAAAGCTATTGACTGGGTTGTGACAGGCCCTCAAGGTTTACAGATGGGTCCTGAGCCCCAAACGGTTAAGAACAGCTGCTCCAGCCATCCTGCCTCCCACCTCTTTCTCTTGCACTAGTGAGGACATTGCATTCTTAACCCCCTGGCCCATGTGCCAGGTTTGCACCGTGGGCCGCTCCCTGGGAGAGATCTGGCTGTGAGTCATTGCCGTTTGTGCTCTGTTCTCAGCCCCCACGCGTGTGACGCCCTATCCTTAGTGCCAGTTTTTAAGCGGTGGTGTCAGCAGGCTGGATTTATTCTGACGTCTGGCTCTCGCCGCGTAGCACTTACTTGGCGTCTCACTGTCGGTCCCCATCACAGGGACATGATAATTGTCTCTAGAGGAAGTGAGGAGAACGCTTATTAATCTGTGCACTCAGGAAGGGTTGTAAATCACTAAGTGTTTCCAGCGACAAAATTGGCTAAATAAATTAAAAGAAGCACTAATGACCCAAACCGAGCTTTGAAATAGCTTGGGTGGGGTGGGTCTCATTGCTGCGCTGAACCTGGGGGCACCCCAGATCTGTGTGTGTCTCCTCCCCTCCGTGGGGATGACCTTGTGTGTCCCCAGCACCAGCCCTGGTGTCTCCTCTCCCCCCATGGTCTCAGCACCACCCCAAATCACAGTGGCCCTACCCCTTCACGTTCTCTTCTTGTTGCTGTTTGTACATTTCCATTGATTTTATTAATTAATTCTCCCTATTTCTATGGCACTCAGCCACATACTGGGCCAAATTCTCTGCTGGTGTAGATGGGCGATACACCATTGAAACCAATGGAGCTGCACTCATTTCCCCCAGCAGAGGATCTGAGCACTCCCAGTATTAAAGAAAATCAGATGCAAAACATTTCACGTTTGTTGGTTTAAAAGGCAAGTTAAGCCCCAGCCCCATATGTGAGGACACGCCACCATTCACATTCCTACAGCATCTTTCATCCTGAACCGTTCCCAAAGCCCTTCCCCAGCTCTATCTCCAGTACCACTGACATGCAGCCACTGCTGGAATAGCAGGCGACCCCCACCTACTGCACAGCAAGCTGCACCGCCATGGAGATGGAACAGGTTGGTCAAGCCCCTATTCTTACACAGAAAGCGAGACTTTCAATAGTCGCCCAGAGCCATTCTAGACTTGGGTTTTATGGCCTCGCTCATGTCAATGGACAACTGAAGCAAGACACAAGTAGGGCTAAGCTGGTCCACCACCCCTGGGTTCATAGCCCGACACTTGGTGCTCCCAAGTGAGGAGAGGAGCAATGAGTAGCTTTACAAACCTTTGGAGGGATGGGAGACCACAGTGGCCCTACCTGGCTCCTGTAGCTTGGCCTTTCCAACATCCCAGACAGTTGTATGTTTTCTACCTAATAGTGTCCCCTAGTGAGAGATTCCAGGGTGTGCAGAAATCCTCCAATGCTGTTTCTAGGATGATTGAAGACATTCAATATTGCCTCATGACCCAGCTTCAGCCTGGACCAGTTCCACACCCACTGGGTAGGGGTTGCCAATGGCTCCTCCTTCATGAGCCGGCAGAAGTCTGCTGCTTCTAAGGGGTGATTTGTCCCTTTGTGGAGGTCCACTGCTGCCCGTCTTGGGGGCTCTGCCAAGCATGGTTGGGCATGCTGTAGAAACTGCCTTGGTGGAGTCTGCAGCAAGGACTTCGGATCTGCATATTGCTCAGCTGCCCTAAGCCCACCACCTCCCTCCCCACTCTTACCACTCCTCCTGGCAGGCCCTGGGTACCTGGCATTGCCCCTCTAATAGCTGCCTTGCTCTGCAACCGCCCTCAGGGACTTTCCAGTGCTAGGAGCTCTGAGGTGGAATCTGTGCTTGAGGAAGCCACTAGAGATCCAGGTGTGGCCAGGCCGTACCGTGTCTCGTCACCCGCGAGTTCCAGCCATGCCACGTGCAGTCAGTGCGTGCCCCATCTGACAGTGTATTGTAGAACTGCAGCATGCTTTGTTTCCCAGTGGCCTGCGCTCACTAGAATGGCCCCCATCGTTCACGTTCAGGACCTCCTCAGCCAAACGTCCCAGCTTGAGGTTTCAATTCAAGTCCTTCGCCAGGGTTCACAGGTGCTAAAGTGAATGTAGTGCTGCTGGAAGGTGCCAGATTGATAGCCCTGGAGCCAGAAAGCTTCAGTGGATCCACGGGACAGAGACACTTCAGGCAGTGGCATTGTAACTTCCCCTGGGCTTCACCCCAGCCTTAGAGTAGAGCCCAGGGGGATAACTGGGTTTCATTCTGTCCCTGGCATCTCTGCTAAGATGGCCAGCAAGGGGCTCATTGGCATAT